TGCTTTTAGGAACGTTTGTTTTAGTTATTGCTCAAATTGTTGTCCGTTTTAAATATTAAACATCCAGAGCCAGATCGATGGAGGTGTGTAAAAAATAGCCTTGCAAGTGCAGCTAAAGTTTGCAGAAATCTTTAGCATTTAGCAGCAGTGCCAAAAGGGCTTGTGTCCAACAGGGGGCGCTGCTGAATCAACTCCCAGCACTGATGGGGAGTAATAACAGGACAAAAACATGCCAAATAATGTTATTTAACCTGTTTAATGATTTGATCAGGGAGGAAGTGAACATTAATTTTTATCTTAGTTGATGCTTGACTTTTTCATAACATACACAGTTGCTTTAAATGTTAAGAATGTAGACATTTTTAGCCGTTTAAATGTAAGATAAATGTCTTTAAAATAAAAATCATGAAATAAAAAAACTGGTACAAGTCTGTATGACGTATCTAGTGAATGCATTTCCTTATTGTCAGCTAAATGTAAAATTATTTTACTGTTATGTTGGTAAATTGCATTAAATTCCAGGCCTGGGGGGTCAGTATCCAGCATGTTATAGTTTCAACCCTGCTTCAGCACACCTGATTTCAATCAGTAGGTGATTAACAGGCTTCTGCAGAGCCTGATGAGCTGCTGCACAGGTGATTCAACCACTGAATTAAGTGCAGAGAAACCACTAAAACATGCTGCCCTCCCAGCACAGAACTGAACATCCCTAGTGGAAGGAATAAAAAGCACAGACCGATATGCATTTATTCACTCTTTGTTTTTAATGTACAATTTTGCAGGATGATGCACTTTTCTCAGTCTCATTATGCAGCAGACTGAACATGTACACCCTCCTGGGAATAATAAACAGCAAGGAGAAGAAACAGCTTCAATAAAACCTGAAATGTGACCAGAAAACACTCTCAATACCAAAAGACCACAGGAAAAACCAAACAGTATGATGACTGAAACTTTCTCTTTTTTTCTTTGTTTATTTCATTCAAAATAAAAACAAATAAAACTTATAAACAATAAGAAATACATAACAAAAAATCAAATTTGTACGAAAAGGACCAGAATGAAGAAAAATATCTTATAATTTATGTCCCCTTTTCCAGTAGAAATAATCAATTTATATATAATTATCATTTGTCAGACACACATACAGATTCATTTTAAACTTTTTCCTGTTCTAAATTCCAGTGTGATCATGATCATTGATTTAATTTACGTTTTCATAATTATTTAGTACACTCAATTTGGTACAGTTTTTGAATATATTAAATTACAGCGTTTTTAAAATTTCCCTTTTAAGGTTATTCCATAATTTAACACCATTTACAGATATAATCCACTCCTTAATTTTAGTTCTAAAATCAAGGTTTTGTTAACACATCAGTTTCTTTCAGCATGTAATTACTAGTTCTCTTTTCAAATATCCCCTGAATGTTTGTTGGTAGAGTACCTAAATTGGCTTTATACATGGTTTGTATGATTTTCCAGTCTTTTAAATCATGAAATTTCAGTAATTTATATTTAATAAACAATGGGTTTGATGGATCTCTACAGCCACTATAATTGATGATTCTCAGGAGCTCTTTTCTGTAAAATAAATAAGGGTTGTGTATAGTTTTTGTATGTCGCTCCCCAGATTTCTACACAATAAGTCAAGTATGGAACAATAGGTGAATTGTACAATGCCAACAAACCAGAATTAGTCAGTAAAAACTTGACTCTATGTAATACTCCTGAGAATTTGGCAATTTTACCTTTAATGCAACTAATATGGGATTTCCATGACAAGTCTTCATCAATAAGAACTCCAAGAAATTTAGTTTCTTTTACTCTTTGAACTGCAATCCCATCTATTTCCAATGACACATCACTGTTCTTTTTATCATTAAACAGTATAAAATTTGTTTTAAGATTCAGTGTCAATCTATTTATATCAAACCAGTTTTTAATTTTGTTCAGTTCATCTTCTTCTTTCTTTATTGAACATGTAAATCAATAGACAATTTAAAGTATTCAAAAAGAAACCCATACATATGCATATATATATATATATATATATATATATATATATATATATATATATATATATATATATATATATATATATATATGTAGAACATGTTCAATCAACACATTCTCACTCCCAGTGTGTCAAAAACAAACGCTTGGTCAGCCACCCTCCACGTCAGACCCCTGACGCCAAAAGTGCCCTTTTTCGTTACTTATGTGCGAAAAGGGGTTTTTCCCTTATTTGACTGCAGATCCCAATGCAGTGTAAAACTGACGCGATGGGATGTCCGCAGCCAGGGCACCAAACAAGCCCATTGTACCTCACCCTGACCTTATCCTCTTATTTAACCTTCCCCTCACCCCTATCCTAACCTTAACCATCTTGCTAGCGAACACGTTAGTGATGTGTCGATCGCTCTAAAAACCGGCTCTATGAAGTGAACGGCGGGAGCCGCCTGTCTTTGGTCGAGTTTGGACCGAGCCAACGCGAAGGGGAGGTTTCAACTACCACGGTGGAGGTTAAAAGTAGAGGGTATGTGTAACCTCCCCCTCGCCAGATGGTATGTTCTAAAGTTCCCCTTGGGCGGCAAATACGAAAATTCACAGTCAGACTCTGCCGGCTTGTGGAGGTCTCGGGAGACCTCTGTGTTCCACCCGGTTGCCCGGCGTATCTCTGACTCAGAAGCTCTGGTGCTGTGCACAGTTAACTCCGGTTGTAGCTAGGTTGCTACCTCCGTTAGCTTAGCTCCCACCTCCGCATTAGCTTTGGGTTAGCTTCAGGTTAGCTTGTAGTTAGTTCGACCGGGTGTCGTCAGTTGATCTCAGCCTTACAGCCCCACCCTCAGCTCCACCTCTCTTCCCTTTTGTGGAATTGTCTGGGCTTGACGGAACCTGTGACACGGTCAAAATGGCGGTGGTGGCCACCTCCCATTTGGCCTCGAAAACGTGTTATTGGAGTCTATGGAAACCCATTGTCCAAAATGTATATGTCGATGGTAGGTGGTCACTAATGTCAGTCATTAATATCCCTGTTTTCCTGAAATCATCCTTATTGTTAGTGAATATATTATCAATGATTGTTGCAGTCCGAGATGTAATTCTGGTTGGCTTGTTTATCAAGGGAAATAAACCTACACTATACAGTGAATCTGCAAAATCCTTAGTTATCTGTCCAGCCTCATGTTCTAAATTAATATTAAAGTCCCCACATAGAAATAATGTTTTGTATTTAATGTGATCAACCAGTTCAATAATTTTTTCATTAAATGTCCCAATACATGATCCTGGTGCTCTATAAACAAAACTAATTAACGTATTTTTAGCAGCTTCATTGCTGATTTCTACAGTTACAATTTCCATAACATTATCTTCCATCATTGTCATTTCCTTAACTAGATTACATTTTAGATCTGATTTAATGTACGGGGCAACCCCACCACCTCTTATTTTTTCTATTTACAAAATAAAGTTCATACCCTTCCATTTGTACTTCATCCATCATATCATCTTTGAGCCAAGTCTCTGTTACAGCAATCACACTAAATTTGTTTTTGAATTTATTTAAATAATATTTGATAATAACTTAGGAAATAAGTTTCTACTGTTAATGTGGATAAGTGACATTGTGTCCTTAGTCATTCTTCCACAGTTCAATTGTTCTTCTCCAATATAATCACAACTTATGTTTAATTCATATAAAATTCCATCTATTTTATTGTCAATATCATATATTTTATTATCTGTATCCATTTCAGTTGAGTGATTTTTGACAGTTTGAATCAAGACCAATATCAAACCGAGTTATCCATGTTGTTTTTACAGTGTCCAAAATAAGTTTGGATGCATAGATTCTGATGATCTTAACCATACTCTGTAAACTTGTTTTATATACTCATTTATCACTTGTGTATTTTTCTAGTTCTGTTAGTTCCTTAATGATCAGAATATTTGCCTGTTCCGGAGACCCATTCAGTTTAATCAATACCTTACAGTTTGAAGTCCATGTTGACTATATTTTCTTTTGCTTTCTCAAAAGTCTTGCTTGCCTTGCAATGTCTGCATTTTTCTTGATTAGGTGTTCATATATATATAAATATATATATATATATATATATATATATATATATATATATATATATATATATATATATATATATATATATATATATATACATATACATTGGTTCCCTTCAGCTTCCTTCCTTGTTTAAGCAGTTCTTTCTTGTGTTTTCTGTTCATAAATCTGATTAAGGATTGCAGGTTTCTGATTTTTATTTTTACGTGGAAGAGGATGGCATCCCTCTATGTCTATGTCCTTGGCCTGTAGGTGTATCCCTTTGCTACCAAGGAAGTCCATTACCAGCCTTTCTTAGTTGTTTAATTCTTGTTCAGGTGGTTATCCATTCTCTGTAGCTGTTGCTCTTGCATAAGTTTGGTGTGTTGTTTCAAGTCCTGTCACTATTACATAATTTATTCTTGAATATTGTTCCAGTTCTGACACTCTTATTTCCAGTAAGGTGATTTTCCTGTCCTTTTCCTCATTTTTTTCCTAGGACTTTAACCTCCTCCACTAATTCCATTATCGCTTTCTGATGTTTAGAGACTGTTGTAATTTCTTCTGACATAAAGCTCAGTGATTTCTTTATCTCTTCCAGTTCCTCCTCAGCAACACTGTTTCTTTTTGGAGGCATTGTTACTGACTCACCCCAGTAGAGCCTGATCTGGTAGCTGGAGCAGTTTAACAGTTAGGAAGTTAAATAAAAAAAGTTTAAAAAAAAAAGCAGACATGAAAATTTTATTATTTACCTCATTCTAATTTCCCACCAACAATGCACCATAAAGAAAACCTTTCAAGAGTCTGAAATAGATTTTTCTGGGTTCAGCTTTAGAGGAAGTGTCTCGTTGGACTTCCAGAAAGTTTCAGGAGTGTTTGTGAGACGAAAACTTCCTGATCTCGCCGCTATTGAGAAACTAAAGACAACAGTGCAAATGTATGAAAGGAAAAGTGCTTTTTAATCGTCCAGCGTTACTCGAGGAAAAACAACTTGTAGAAAACTAAACAAAACAGACAATTTGGACAAATTTTATCTTAATTGGATGCTGCAGGGTAGTGACAGCTCAGATTAGCATCGTGGTAAAACACCACAGCACAGCTTCTTTGCTTTGTAATTTAGGCTAATTAGCATTAATTAGCTTCCAAGGAAACAAGTGACAGCCTTTTGGGAGTCAGAGCAAAAGCTGCTGAATAACTAATGCATCAGTGGCTGTAGGAATGATTTTTTCTATGGCTTTGTTGGTCACAGTGTTAACCGATGAGTGTGGGATAAAAGCCCTGAGCTCAGATGAGCCGGGATGATGCAGGAGCCCTTATGTCATTTGTTACAGGTTGTTCTGCAGCCAGTTAATGTACCCCCTCACCGCCCTCTTTCCTACATCGAAGTCTATCGGCCAGGATATAAAGCTGAAGCATCCGTGGAAACCGTCCTCGTAGTGCTCACTAGTGACAGAGACTCCTGCGTCCTGTAAGCGTCGAGCGTACATCAGCCCGTCATCCCTCAGCACGTCAAACTCACATGTTAGTATATAAGCCCGTGGGGTTTTAGCCAGCACCTCCGACCTGGCTAACAGAGGTGCTGCGCGGACGTCCAGAAACCCCGGCACCGCCTTTAGAACTCCATGGGAGTCTTTCTCCACAGTGACAGGCTTGTGGCTCTTCCTGACCTTCTGAGGGAGCAGGGTGGTCCAGTCTAACCTCAGCCTCAGCTCTGAGGCGACGGCGCTGTGGTTGTTCACCACGAGCTGCGGCAGCAGGGACAGGTCGGCTCCGAGGTACTGGAGCCAGAACTGCACCATGGTGTGGCGAGGGAGGATGGGCATGTGTTCGTTCTGCAGATAGGACGGCGTGTTGAAATCCAGGGCTTGGAGCACCGGGTAGATCAGAGCCTGGACGCTGAACTTCACAGTCATGCTCTCGTCTAAAGAAACCTGGGAAAACACCAACACACACAGTTCAGTGACCTCGTCTTTCAGCAGAGCGGGAGATGGTTTCGGCCTGTACCTCCTGAGCGACTGCAGCAGCGAGGTTTCCTCCAGCGCTGTCTCCTGACACGGCCACACGTTCAGGGTCGACGGAGTACTTTGCCAGAACCTCTGGGGATAAGAAATGTTTAGCAGCAGCGAGGCAGTCTAAATACGGCTCTGGAAAGATGACCTCAGGATAAAGGCGATACCTACAGACACAGACCACAAATGTGGGTAAAAAGCAAAAGTGAGCAGGAGGCGACTCACGGCGACTAAAAACCAGAGGAGCGGCATTTTTAAATTCTAGGTAATTCCACTTGGACCTGCGGAATTTGGGTAGGTTGTGTGTTTGTATTCACCAGTAGCGTAGTTGAAGCAGGTCAGAACGGCGTTTCAGCTGAATTTAAAAACACGGTTTGAACTAATATTTACAAACACTGTTGATTCTTTTATTACCACCAGCTGTTTTTAACAAAAGCTGTCTTTAATGCTTTTTACAACCACGGTTGCAGCTGCGTCGACCAACACTGATCAGAGATCAGGACAGCTTTCACAAACACGGACTGTTGTTTCAAACGGAGTTCAGAAATGTAAACATTTATTTGAAATAACAAGACCAACCTTTGACCTGCGAAGATTAACTGTCTCCCTACACTTGGATCCTCCGGCGGAGGACTTTTAAGCGATGTAATGAGTTTTTTAAAGAACCATTGAGGAACCGGATGTAGCACCAGTCCGGGTCCAGCACTAGAACCGTTTTGATTGAATTTAATGCACATAGATACAAAAGTAAACCTACTCAACAGAGACCACGACGGTGTTGAGCTCATCCGAAACCATGCGGTTCACGTTGTCATACGTCCCCTTTTCTGTGGAAAAAACATAAAAATACACAAAATTTGTGCTTATTATGACTTCAGTCACAAATTCTACTTCCTTTCCTGCTGTGAAGAAACCACGACTGTACTCACTGGCGCTGCCGAGAGCCCAGCCGCCTCCGTGGAAATACATCAGCCCTCTCCTCAGGTGTCCCTCCCCTCCGGCCGGAGGCTCGTAAACCCTCACGGAGATCCCGGCAAAGGTGGTGTCACGAACCTTCACTCCGGGTATGACCCCCCCGCTGGCCCCAGAGCCCAAAAGGCCCTTCGCTGTGCTCTCAAAGCCCTCTATTGAATGTCTGACTGATGTGATGTAGTGATCCAGACCCAGCCGGTGTTTCAAAGAAGCCTGAAGAGAAGAAAGGCATCTTATTAATCTTTAGTATCTTTAAGGGCACAAAATGATTTATTATATAAAGTAAGAGACAAAGAGCAGATTGGGGGAAGAACAGGGGGAAAAGTCATCATTTCATCAGAGATTTGACATCTCACCCAGTCACTGTTGTTCATCTACTCTGTGTCTAATAACCGTCAGCCCCCTAGAGACCGCCTCAATACAAATGCTGACAAAACACCAGAGAAACACGGCTGAAGCAGACAGTTTAGGAGTTTTGTCCTACTGTAGATGCTGAGGGGCAGCTCACTTAGGATCTAAAGCACAAGTGATCATGCGCACCATTGCATATGCAGCATGCAGATAAAAAGATAATCCATCATCTCTTTAGATTTATATACTTTTTAAATCAAACAACACCTTTTTATTACAGCACGAGGCTGACTTGCACACCGACCCGCTGTGTTTCAAATAACCTTTAGTCCACAAAATGCAGATTTTCTCCAGGTCATATTCATCTACGCCTTTTCTTTGCACAGTGGAACGTTATCTGTGGCGCACTAACTCCAGAATGTGTGGCTAAAAGCTGAACAAAGGTCAATTCAGGTCCAGGAAAATACTTTAACTTTACCATAAATTTGCACCCACAGAGGTCATCCATTGCATAATCACCCATCATGTATAATCTCACTTTAATATAATCAGTAAAATAAATCATCTTTAGAGGCATTGTTCTCAGAGAAACACATCTGAGCAGTGGTGCATGTTTTTGTCGTTCTCCTGCTCCAACACCAGTTGACCTGTTCAGAAGGTCATCCAGAAGTCACCTGCTTGTTAAAATCAGGTGTGTTGGAGCAGGGAAACAACTAAAACATGCTGGAACATCCTGGGCGGTTACTCACGTGACTTTGACTTTTAAGTATAAAATGTTCTCTGGAAAAAGATCACATGTGCTTATTGCAAAACTTTAATTGAGCAATTGCAGCAAATGCCCAGTCTAACTCTAAATGTGGCACCGTGTTTAGCTCGTGAGCAGCTAAAAATACCTCAGCAACGTGCACTTGCATGGGCTTCAAATCCCGTGTGCAAAGAGACACCTTCCATGAATCAGAAACGCCTCATTTCTCACCAGGTGCATGGCTGTCCTGAACCCTGCGTCCACCAACAACAGCTTCCAGGGCTCCTGGATGGCGTCAGGCAGCGGAGTGTAGACGTAGTAGGCAACGAAGACAGCTAGCAGCACTGTCACAACCAGCCCCTTCACACCCATCCTCGTCTGGATCAGTATTTCTACTGACTGACGGACCGCAGACACTTTATTATTGCTGATCCGAATGGGGCTGGAATTGGCAGTCAGGGGGAAAAAAAATATACCATTTCCGGTGAAAGATTTTCAAGTTATAAATTTGATTTCTGATTTAATGTTTACATTCATGGGAAATATTCAAATAATATTAGATTTCATGAAATAAAACAAGTAGTTTACATAATATTTTTTATAGTTTTTCCAAACACTTTCTAGAACTTTTCTCCCTGAAGATAGTCAGATTGAAACTTTTATTTTGAAGGCAAGGCAACTTCGTATCCTGGAATTGATGTAATTCCTGTGAACACGTTTGCGCGTGTAATTTCTTTCTTTCTTTCTTTCTTTCTTTCTTTCTTTCTTTCTTTCTTTCTTTCTTTCTTTCTTTCTTTCTTTCACTTATATTTTCGGAGATTGTAAACCACTTGAGACGAGGGTCTTCCAGCTGTAATGACAACATATGCCCACAGTGTGGCAGTGTAGAGCTGCATACTGACCACTTCAGCTTTAATCAAACGGATCCATCAATTCTGTTTGATTTATGAGTCGCCATGTTGGAAAATGCCGGTCGGAGTAAAAAAAAAAAAGATTTTCTAAATAAATAAACTGTAAAAGCAAAGCAACACTTTGGACAAATGTATAATTACTTGACTTTAGAGAGGACCAAATTAGTTTTTCTTTAGGGAAACAACTGAATTATTTATTTAGCTACAATTTTTTTAATTATTTGTTCAATAAGGAATAAGTATGACTCAGTTTTAACGAAACAATAAACTTTAAATTATCTTTCATTTGAATGGTGACTTTTTGAGGAAAGTTCTGATTTATTTGTTTTGTAAATTCCGTGTTTGCTCTAGCAGGTTTTTCATGTGTGTACTTATTATTCAGACTTTTTAAGTTGTCACGGGTATTTTATCTGATTTTAGGCTGAAGTGAAACATTTTAGCTGATTGTTTGACTTTTTTATTGACAGTTGCAACAGTGACCCATACAGGAAACATGTTTTATGGGAAAAAGGAAGTCATGCCATGAGGGTGCCCAGCCAGGATTTAAACAGAATGGCGCAGTTATGTGGCATGCATGACAACCCACTAAAACTAGCGTGACAACCCTTGGCCGGGTTTCAAAATTTGGTGTGAAGTGGGTCACACTCCGAGGAAGGCAAAGGACGTTACGGTAACGGCAAAACGGAGAGTTCAAAGAGCTCCAATGTCATCTGCCTTTTTCTGTATGTGTCCTCATTTATCTCCCTGTTTTCTCCCACAGTTGAATGTTTAAATGGCCACAGTTTGGTCCCCAGTGGCCTTGTGTTGGAAAAATCATCAGACTTGATGAGGACCTGACCTCTGGGGCTGTGCTGGTTTCCAAAACATAGCAGCAGGACATCCAGACCATATCAGATTAGTCTTTAGAAGTGCCAGAGAAAGAGTTTCGAGAGATATGAATAAAACTGGCTTCTGATGTTTTGAAGTGTCTAAAATATATGCAATTATGCTTTTTTTAGAATTAATAATTGTGCAGATTTTAGTGAGACAGTGTGACAATGTGCATCAGAGAGCTGGTAAATCTTCTTTAAAGACTGTGCAGCAACCACATCTACAATTATCATTTTTGTGACGTTCAAAGCTCAGAAACTTTTGCAGTCTTCTTGAAATTCTAAATCCTAACCAGAATCTGCATTTCATCTTCAAAGGATGCCATGCATGATCACTTTGTAGGCCCTGAATGAGAGCGTCAGCAGGAAGCTGAAATAGTAAATCTGATAGGTGCCTTTATGAGTGTGTAAAAAAAAGAGTGTGCATTCAAATCCCTCTTTTCCTTCCCCCTCCCTCTCTGCCAAGCGCTGCCTTGGCATCTCCCCACAGTCTGCGGTATGGAGGGCAGAAACAGGGCCCCAGTCTCATGTCACTGCCTGGAATAACACTTATGGTCATTTAACTTGACTTAATGCACGAGGCAGAAGAGAAGGTCCTGTCTTGTTGTGCGGTCTGCTCTCTGCTGCTTCCTTTAACGGCAGTTTGAGCCGACTGCTCTGCATCTGGTACTCGGATTTTAAAGGTGCTCCAAAAGGAAACGGGATCCAACCAGAATGCAAATGATGCTGCAAGCAAAGAAATTATAGGCTACACTAAAAATACATTTCAAAAGGAAAAACTTCTGGGAAAATCATTTGCATGAAACTTGTGTGAGTTTGAGATCGAGGCCGTACACGTTTGTCAGGAGAAGAAAAATATGTGATTCAGAAAGTTGGATGGATGAAGAATTCCTGCTTTGATGAGCATCGTCTCTCTGCGTCATGGTTACCCTGTTATTAGATGTTTAACATTTTCATCTAAAACCAAATCCAGCAGGCTTTCTCTGACTGAAGTTTGACATTAAACTACTTTACAAGCAAACATAAGGTTTAGCATTTAAAACTCTTCCGAATATCTTCACTTGTCCTCTGACAATTTGAATGATCTTCCAATGGAAAGAGGCGGCTTTAGATCTAACGAAATCCAATAGTGATGCAGAGAACAATCCAGGACTGACAACAAAGATGTGAGAAAGACAGGAGCATGCACACCTCTAGGGATAATGAAGAGATGAAACGCGGGTGCAGGGTGATCAGAAAGCGACACCAAGTGGGAAATGAAGGAACAAAACCGAGAGAAGGAGTTTTGCAAAAATGAAAATATGAGTTGATCAAACAGAATGATGCAAAAGCTAAAAGGAAAGGAAATCCCCAATGTAGCAGATAAAGACTAAAGTAAGACTCTATGGATGATGCAATTAATAATCTTTATAAACAAAAAAAAATCATCCACAGGAAATGAAACTTAAATCAATAACTCTTTTTTTTCTCCAGAGGTCTGAAGGACCGACTCCAGCCACTGAAACAACACCTTAGCCTTGTAAAATGAAGATTATTATTATTATTGGTTTAGACCAAAAATGACCCTGATTTGTCAAATTGTGCATAACATGATGAACTGAGGAACTGATCATGCAAATGACACAGAAACCAAAATCGTCCTAACACTCAGGCTGCCACAGACGGGAGGACAGCTGGTTGTTGCTTTGCCTTTTCTGCATCACATCCCCATTTCTGAAGGGACTGTTGTTTCCTTGTAGAATGAAGAAAAGTGTCTTGTGTAAAAGAAGAGGCAGAATCCTTCAAATGATGTGCTGAAACATTGGTCATATGCTCTGTTACAGATAAAATATTCAGTTTCTGACATCATCTGTCCTGGATTTCCTGTTCTGCTTTGAGACTCAATTTGATTGTGAGTTTTCTGCTAGATCACATTAGAAAATGAATGTGTTCAACACAAAAGGTGTGGCGGGTTAATTTGCTCTCCAGGACAGCAAAGAAGAACAGATGCATGAAAAGTGTAAGAATGAAGTAAGTATGACATCCTGTGGTCACATTTGGGTACTGCAGCCAACGTTTCAAAATAATCAAGTGACTTTCCCACTGCTGCTCAGTGAGTTTAAAGGTGCATTATGTAGAAATTAAGTAAACATGATGTCCTGTGGTAAAATTTGGTTACTGCAACCACTTTAAACAACTCTGGAACTTTTTGCCGGCTGTCGTCAAATTGCAATTGTCAGCGCTGCAGTATTAGCTCGCAACCCCACACTCACTGATGGTAAACAGTAGTTACGTCCCTCCCTCCTTTGTTTTGAAAGGAGAAAAGCTGACAATCCAGCAGCCAGTTGGACATGAAATATGTTTCAGTATAACCTTCCTTTCAAAATGACTGAAACTTTAGACTCTTTTGGGATTTTCTCACTATATTCTTACACACTGCACCTTTAATGGCTGTCACCATTCCCTGATCAGCACTAGAAGATTCTAGATGACAAGCGAAGATGAGCCATACTCAATAAGTTGATAATAATATTGAGTCATTGGAAATTTAAAAAGTAGATATTTTTAAAGCTGACTATTTGCTGCTCATTCACTGTTAGCATCGTTAGCTCAACGTTAGCCTCTTGCCTGCTTCACTATAAACTTGAATTACAAATGCCGGCACTGTAACCTTAGTTCAGAGCAGATACGACAACCTTCACCGGCTGTAAACAGTTGCTATGTCTCTCTTTATTTTTTTTAGAGAGAAAAACTGACAACCTCAGCCAGATGTGCAAGAAATCTGTTTAAATGTGCCCTTCCTTTCAACAGAACTGAGTAATTAGACTGTTTTGTGATAATTTCACTGTAAAACTCTTACTTATTGTACATTTAAACAACTTAAAAATGATTGTTTTACAGTAAATGAGAAGAACTGTGTGACTCGGCCACGTAGAAATGTAGGAATGTTCTAGTAGCGGAAGAGGGAAAAGATTTCTTTGTCAGCCTTTTTTTTCCTCTCTCCTTTTCTGTAGGACTCCTCCTTTTCTTGATTACTAAATCTTTCCATCAGCAGCCCAGATCTTCTTTCTGTCAGACTAAAGTTTTCCACTGGCCTCCCGAGGATCCTGAACAAGAATGATGATCTTCTGTGACCAGAGGCAAATGGCTGGTTCATGCAAACAGAAGACTGGAGTAAAAAAAAGCACCGAGCTGGCTGCAGGTCAGCACAAGGAGAGTTGAAAAGTTAAATGTCACACACTGATGTGAACAACTAAATTCCCTGTGCACTGACCTTTGACCTGGGGGATGCACTGCTCTGCTGGACATGGACTCTTTGATTAGAGGCGTTTGCAGGCAGCATCTTGAACACACACACACACACACACACACACACACACACACACACACACACACACACACACACACACACACACACACACACACACACACGCGCGCACACATGCTCATGACGTTCTACTTCCTCCCATGCTTGGGCGACGCCCCGGTCCAGTCCCATAAGTGGTCCAAATGTGATCCTGATGTTATGGTAAACCCCCCATCCCCTGAACCAGAACTGAGGTTGTTAAACGTGGTTTTTGCACCCCTCCCATCGTCCTCAGCTGCTGCAGAGCGACATTGACATGAGACAGCTGTTGCTGCGGTGAGAGGGTGAGTGGGATGCAGTCGGCTGTGAACGGAGAGGACGCTCAGACACATGGTGATGGGGGGGGGGGGGGTTGTCACCTCTAATGTGCACATCGACTCACAAATTACTCGAGTGTTAACCGTTTTATCTGTATTTCAATCTGTGGTTGGCTTTCAGCAAATTAACAAGAGAAGATGAGAACATTTAAAAGCTGGGATGAAATAGAAGGCCTTGGAATGCAGAGAAGCTGCAGAAAATCTTTACACAAGCTGAAGAGTCTGCCTGGAAGACAGGAAGAGGGAGTCTATCTGTGGAAAAAGACAGCTGGTATCATGCGGCCCTGTCATCAAACTCTTCCTCTTTAACTGTGGAAACAACAAAACAAAGACAGAGACTCTAAACTGTAAAAGGGGAGCCGATAGCGTGGACAAAGGAGGTGGAAATAGCCTTATTATAAGCTGATCTCTGCCTAATGGCTGATTTAGGCTTAAACATTTGAGTCACGGTGAGTCAGAGTGTGTGTGACTGCGTGACCCTCGTGCTCCTGCCTAAATATGTGATGCCACATTTGTGGTGCCTGTTGCTTTCAGCAGAAGCTCAGATCCAGGTGCAGATCCTCATGTAAGACACTCACATGTTGTTCATCCATGTTGGTGTGTGAGGTGCTGAGTGACACACCCTGTTCCCTTCTGTCAGGATGTGTCAGCACTTCCATGGTCTTTTTCTCTTTGTCCTTTGCACCTCCATCTCCGTTTCAGCTTCGTCCTGCAGCTTCCCCGAGAACGGTGGTGTCCTTTTAGTCAATTCTTAGTCAAAATAGTTTTTCTCCCCGCTGCTCTCCTCAAGTGACCTTTTGCAAAGACTTAGAGATTAGCAGTATTACTACACTTAAAGAAGAAAACTGGACTTTTTCTCAGAGGGCACCACCTAGAGGCAGTAAGATCCATTGCATCTTAAGCCTCTCTCCTTACTTCCATGATTATGGCTGGAAGCAACGTCTCTCATTCGTGAACGTGCACCTCTAGCCAGCAAACGGAGCTAAAACTCATAGAGTTGTCAATGTCTCAAGTTGTTTATCTTACAAAAATATAATTCAATAAATAAACAATTAAAGAGTTATTTGTCTATAAGAAGGGCCAACTACTTAGCGCCTGTCTTCGTATGTCCGTAAACGCACGAGCACGATCTGTGACTGACATCTGTATGTGAGCAGATGTCTATCGCTGTTGGCTAACAGACATAAAGGACATGAATCATCAGCTCCAACTGCTTGAAAAACTGCATTTACTTGATGTTATGATCTTTTGAAGCATCAAATTTTAACTCAAAATTTTGTAAAAATTACCAAGTTATGATCATTGTTGTGCTTGCTTTGGTCAGTTAGCTGTAGATGACCCCAGCTGGTAAAACAATTTGTTTCTGATGGCCCCACTTGAATCCATCCAGTAGTGCGTTAGGTAATTCACTGACACCCACCTTCTGTTACCCTTCGTGGAGCAGTAAATCTCCTTTTTAGCAGAGGTGGCACGAAATTTACGTTTTAATGCTTTAATCGAGCCAACGATCCCTAGAGATTTCATCAGTGCACAGTCCAGTGGATCCCTCAGATTATATCCACAGGATGTGTTTTGTTTCACGTGATGCAGGAGGATCGAGGGAGACGGTGGTTGAGGTGCATATTGGTGGTAAATTGCCTCCTTTCCTGTTCAGCTGATATCTTGTTGTGTCTTTGACTCTTCCTGAGATGCTCAGCAGACTCTGCCTCTAATTAATTGTTTTTTATTTTTTCCCGTGGGAAGAACAAGGTAGTATCACACACACACACGCACACACGCACACACGCGCACACACGCACACACGCACACACACACACACACACACACACACACACACACACACACACACACACACACACACACTTAGTGGGCCTATACTTATCATGTGATGTGAACCTTGTGAGAGCTGACGTTGTTATTGGAGATACATTCCAGCAGGGTATAGAGGAGATCTTAGGTGTGAGAGTGTGTCTGTGTAAGAAAACACTGCAGACCATCCATCAGCAGGTCGGCACGGTAACTTCACACCACCTGCAACACAACCACGGACCCCCATTTCAGACGCTTTCCTCCGCCTGCTGAAACAGGGTTTGTCACAGCCAAGTGGAGCCTGCAGTCTCAGTCAGCGTCTCCTCCAATGGAGATAGAAGACTTCGTTGCAGGACACGGAGTCAGAGAGGGGTCATGTCTCATGTATTTCTGTCACTTCCTGTCAACACAACACAGAGGAATTTTATGAAAAGCTTCTTTGGGGAGGACTCTCAGACTAACACTTTAGTTTATATGTTGCTGTCAGCTCACTCTAACAAAGAAAAAGTTCTTGTCAACATTTATAAGCCTGGAGGGTATCGTATTCTGCAGTAGATGCTGACGTTTGACCACCTGGTCTCCATAGAAACACCACTTCTGAGCACAGAAATCTTGCAGTTCTTCTAAATGAATTGTGTTTATATACTTGATGGAAACAATGCATTTTTATTATCTGGCTGCTCAAAAGCACCCAGAACATACATCTTATTCAAACTAAACTTGTTATAATTTCCAGTAATGACTATGTCTAGGCTGCAGTTTCTCCAAATAATTGACTCCAAGCTGCTCATTAGAGCTCAGGTCCTATAATAAAACGATTTTACTGATGTGGAGAAAAAAAACTATCTACATTGCACCTGCAGATCTTTAGCAGGCTCCCACAGGAAGTATTTATTCTTAAAGGAAGAAATGTGGAATGCACTATTTGACCCAAATGTAATGATAATCAATCACTATGGAAAGTAACCACATAAACATACATTTATTTCCCAAAGAACTTAAAGTCATAAATAAAGTCACGATCTTACCTGCAGCAGACAGAGTAATTTCAGTTTGGAGAATTAGGGAGAAAGTCTCATAGGTAAATCAAGCTGATGATGAGTGAGGTCAGGACCTTTTACAGCCTTCTAAAATAACTCAAATCTCATAAATTTCAAAGTGCTTCAAGCAAAATCTGTAGTATTTGTAGTTTTCAAGTGTATCAGAACCTCTGGGAAATGCGCTCCTCTGCCTTCCTGCTATCGCTTAAAGGTCTTTAGCTTAGCCTAGATGCTGGATTGTTGTGGTGCTATTGGATGCACAAATCAATCAGTTGATCAAAGTTTTTTTATAGAGCACTTTTGAATACCCTGGAAGGTATCCAAAGTGCTTTTCAGAAGGATAGAAGGTGAAACAAAGAGATCAAAGAGATACAACAACAGTTAAAAATATAACTTCAGACATACAAACTGCCTTTGGAAGCCAATGTGTGGTGTGTGTGAACACCACGGTGGTTTGGAGGGGTAAAAATTATACATTCAGCCTCGTCCTTGGTGAGGAGCAAAAAGTCATCAGAAAGCTACAACTGGAAATGATCAAGGCTGTAACTGAATCCAGACTTGTGGGCAAGTAGATTTGATTGTCATCAGCATAGCAATGCCAAGCCACGATTACTCCAAGTGATAGCATACTCAGCGAGAAGAGCAGTGGACCTAGGACTGACACCAGGGGAACACCACGAGATAGTGGAGCCTGCAATGAACGAGCGTCACTGAAAATCATCTGCCTGACAGATAGGAAGCAAACCATTTTAGGACCGTTCCACCAAAACAAACAAGTCTGTCAAGGCATGAGACGAGGATCTTATGATCGACCGTATAAAAGGCAGCTGAGAGAATCCACATGGAAACATGTTGGTCCTCTTGAAGTACGACAATATTAAAATCCTGTATGGTTGATTCTTGAGACATGTTTATGTTTATTTATTTGAGACGCTTTTATCCAAAGCAACTTACAATTTATAACCTAGGGCATGTTGTGGTCTGTGGGGGAAACCGGAGTACCCGGAGGAAACCCGCGCATGCATGGGGAGAACACACAACTCCACGCAGAAAAGGCCACAGCCGAGTTTCGAACCTGCAACTTTCATGCTGCGAGGTAACAGTGCTAACAACTGCGCCACCATGCAGCCCACGTGGTTGCTTTTAGGGATTTTAATAAAACTAGCGATTTGTCCTGCAGTACCACCGACTGTCCTCTACTGGTGGCCATGAGTGCTTAACGTTTTCCCCACTAGGCTAACAAGTAGGTCACATGATTGGAAACAATGACTAAATTAGTACACGACATTATTTTTGCACCAGTTATGTAAACAAAGTAGTTACGTTTAGCATGTTCAGTTTAGCACAAAGTGTTTCACATGTGTAGAAACCAACTGTGAATCACCTCAGGTGCAAATTAGCAAAAAGATCACACATGTGCTACAAATGCTATTTACATTTCAGAACTTCTATCTAGATCTCTAAATCCTCTCAAAGGGACATTTGTTCTTCTCAGCGCTTCAAAGGTAACAGAGTCTATATGCACAGGTGCAATTAGCTCACATTTGTGTACAAGGATGTGTGTTTGTCATACACATGGGGTGTTCACCAAGCATCAATGCTTACTTGACTGCATGATGAAAAAGGTATGAAAAGTGTTTGCACCCTTGATGATAAGACTTTGCAGTTTTCAAACTTATGTTAAATCCATCTTGTTGTGGATTTGATCAATCTAAAATAATTCTATCTATCAATCTATCTATCAATCTATCTATCTATCTATCTATCTATCTATCTATCTATCTATCTATCTATCAGTCTATCTATCTATCTATCTATCTATCTATCTATCTATCTATCTATCTATCTATCTATCTATCTATCTATCTATCTATCTATCTATCTATCTATCTATCTATCTATCTATCTATCTATCTATCTATCTATCTATCATTAGATCTACGGTATCTTTTATTAGAATAAACACTGCTGCCTGAACGCATCCCTCTCTTGGAGCCCATGATGCGTTCAGGGACGAGCTGTTGACCCGTCTGCCACGCTCCTGGAGCCCCCGCCCCGCTGCTCTCTTAACGGGAACTCCCCCTAAGTTCCCCGGTTCTCTCCTCTCTCTGCTCATTCTCTCTATAAGCTGTCACACACACACACTACCCACACACACACCTTCCACACATGGACCCGCGGCGTGCTGAAGCAGACCGTGTACTCTCTCAGTTGCTCCCCGGTTACCGAAAAGCAGCTGTTTAGTAAATCTGCAGTCTACTTGGATCCTCGTCGTGAACCGAGTTTTTTGGGACTCTTCCGGAGGAGTGAACGGTGGACTGGGAGGTAGGAACTGGTGTCAGCAGGATGGTTTTCGTCTTATTACCGTGTTCCCGGGCTGCGTTAAAGGCACCAGTCAGCTGCAGTGTTTTTGCCCGCCGGTCTTTTCTTTTTTTATCGGTGTTTATTGAAGTCTTTGCGCGCGCGACGCTTGTATTTATGTGCGCGCGTGCCCTTTCACATCAAAGGGGGGATCCTCCAGTTGTGTGAAAGGAAGTTAGGAGATTTCACGCGTAGTTTCCAACAGATTGAAGGGTTTAACCGGGACTACGCTTGCTAAAAGTAGCTGCAGGAGTTCCTTTGCCTTAAACTTAAGATAAAAGGTCCAAACATTTTGATTTTTTGATTAATTAAACGCTAATTAGAATAAATGCATGCATGTTTTGTTAAAACTTTCACTACATAAGCAATAACAACGATTTAATAAATCCTGCACACGTTTAAAGCTTCATGGCAAACAAACATCACTTGAACATTCTTTAAATGTGACATTTAAAAATGTTAATTTTTGTATTAATTAGCACACAAGCTGCCTATTTTAGGTGCATTTTTGTTCAGCATCAACAGGCTGAGAAGGCTTTCAGAAAGTCTCCAGCAGCACGACTAGATAAATATTTAATTTTTCCAGGACTGCTTTAAATAAAAAAAGTCTCTGCAGGAGACATATTAAACATTTAGAAGCGGTAGCAAATAGGAGAAGATGTGTGTATTTGTGGGTTTTTGCTGCTGCTGCTAGGTGTGTGTGTGTGTGTGTGTGTGTGTGTGTGCGTGCGCGCGCGCACGTAAGTGGCCTCCTGTGTGGTGATATCCTGCCAGGTCCTGTGAGGTGGGGGTCAGTCACAGGGTCTCCCCTTTGGAATTATCCTAAAATAGATGCAGCTCACACAAGAACACACTTTTAGGAGCCAATCACATTAATGCATCTTCTGCTAACAGTCAGCCATAATGACTTCGGCGCTTGATGTCACACATTAACCATTAGTTTGAAATCTCTAAGCAGCGTATACTGGAGTGATGTTAAAGTATGTTATCCTTCTGGATGCTGACAGCGTATCCCTTTATTATTGTGTTTCCTTCAGTCCCATCCAATCCACTTAAGTCTGATAAGTGTGCATTTTTATTTCTGGATTTGATTGTCTCATCACAGCTGAACTTGGATTTTCATTGCAGATTACATATTTCTTTCAGCTTCTTTTTCCATGGAGTTGTTTTCTTTGCAGAAATCATTTTGAACATCATGCATTTAAGACAACTCTGCATTTTAAAAGTGTTTGTTGTCTGGCTTTTCTTCATTTTCTCCCTGATTGGTCTGGTGGATGCAACTGTGAAATGATGAGCAAGTGTGTGTTCCTTCGTTTGACCACTGCTGGCTGGGGATGTGTGTGTGTGTGTGTGTGTGTGTGCGTGCATGCATGTGTGTACCTGTCTTTAAATAAAATTGAGGAACAATGGCTAAATTTTCCCTTATAAAGTGAGGACATTTTGCCTGGTCCTCCCTTTGGTACAATGTTACAGAGTGCGTTAGTTTTAGCGGTATAGTGTAAATGAAGTTTTAGTTTAGGAATAGGCTGGTAATGGTAATGGTTATGGTTAAGCATAATTCAGTCACTAAAATGAATTGGAGTCAATGACAGTCCTCACAAGAATGCAAGACGAGTGTGTGTGTGTGTGTGTGTGTGTGTGTGTGTGTGTGTGTGTGTGTGTGTGTGTGTAGGGAGAAACTAAGGAGTCATGCAGCTGTAACTTGAGCCTATATGAACACACTGACTTTTGGGAAACCACAAAGAGTGTTCTCCATGCATTGCGGGGAATCTGGATGATTGTGTATATTACATCACCTACTACACGTCATTTTATATAACATGCAGACTTATGCTATCACCTTGATTCCTTTGACCTTTTGATAAATGACTATACTCCTAAAACGACCTTTTTGAATAACTTTTCATGTAACTTCTAGTACTTAGAAGAAAAGCTGCATTTGAAATGTGAAAAATGCATCTTTGAGACTTGCTAAGGGTGCCATAGAGTATTCTGAACATGTTTTACTCTTAATCGTGATATATTTAAGCTCTTACCAAAAAGTTGTCATTTGCAATTTTGTTGTTTTATTTCCAAAATCTCATCAGGAAACATTTGGAAAAATTGTTTATTTACAGATTACCAAGGCAACCATCACAATTTCGTTCATGAAAGTCATGGCAGCACTGTAAAAATAATATATTCTAGTTATAAAAAGTATTTTTTCCAGTTCTAATATTAAATGAGTGGATCACCTACACACAACTAGTAAGAGACCAACATGTCACTGGAAGCTGGATTGTGGAAGTAATAAAAAATAATCTTCTGGTATCAAGCTTGAGTCTTTAAAAAATATTTGAGTGTTGGTCACATGGATCAAGTGATTCATGACATTTGTTTATACCAGCCCTCAAAATATGCAACGCTAACGGCAGTTATTCTAAACACTAGGTGTCACTATTGAGTAAATACTGTTGCACTGCAAACATTACACATTAGAGAAGTACATTGTGTGTACAAAAACAGTTATTCACTTTCAAATCATCTGCTTTACTTTTAAATATTGAATATGCATTTTTAACTCCAGTGATTTAAAAAAAAATCTGTACCTGAACAGACTACCAGGTACCTCTTACACAAAGGTAAACAGTCACTAATACATGTTCCACCTGCCCAAACAACCCAAAAGCAGCCTGCTTGAAACACATTGTGACGTATTTTTCAAATTTGTCAAAGATTACGCTTTTTTTCTGTAAAATATTGTAAAGAGTTTCTGAAAACATTTACAGTAAAATAAAGAAATGAACTATCGAAATGCATAAGTAACAGCTGAAGGTGATACAAGGAAGTCGAAGCGTAGCAGATTACTGAAGCTTATAAAGAACAAGTAGATTTTATTTGTTTAAAGTGAGGCTCAAACCTCCAGTCCTGCTATTAAAAATGGACTACTCTCCCTTTCACAGCTCTATTGTTGCGTTACAGCACGCCGTTTTGTTGGTTTCCTTGGTGATGTGTCAACATGAGAATTCATTATGTGAACGAAGAAATCCTGCCCAGCCCTAAAAGTGGGCACAGCAGGTAGCGACTGGCCCTTGTGCATGCTGAGAAGTCTCTGTTAGTGGGGAGACAGCATGGTGCAAAAGCAATGTGCAAAAAGCTCTATATCTGTGGCTGCTTGGCTGTGTGATGAGAAATGTAAAGTATTAAACACGTTCCACATGCCTGTTAAATCTGAAGGCTTTATCAAGCATATTGGAGTTGAAGACAAAATATCATGAGAAAATATGCAAAAACATTTTGGAATAACACAGAAAACCCTATTTATTCAATAACAAACATTTCCTAAAGCTGCTTCCTGATTGCACTTTTTGACTCATGGAAGTGTGTTCCAGAGGCCTACAATGACTCGATGACTATTATGACATCAGATTTGTACCCCGCATTTATTAAACAGGTTAAAAATTCTAGGTATGCAAGAACAAACCCTGAATGTGGTCACTGATGTTCTGAAACATGACCTCTTTCAACCTCTCAACTATTGAGCACCACCTGTTACTGGATAGGCTGAGAGACTGGGTAGGTCTATCAGGAACTGCTCTGGAGTGGTTCTCCATAGACTTTCCCGCTCGTCTTTTGCCCTGCCCACCTGCCGGTACGGGACCCAGACAGACGCCACCCTACCTGGTCTGTCCTGGCCCATATGTAAAACTGCCTATGGTGTCCCTCAAGGTACTGTGCTGGGGCCTGTATTGTTTCTCCATTATCTGCTACCTCTCCAGCACATGCTGAGTTTATTTAAAGGAACCTCCTACCATATTTATGCAAATGACATCCAACTGTACATCTCCTTTAAGCCCCATGAGATGTCTAAGCTGCAGCTGTTACACACCTGCTTAGACTCTATTAAAACTTGGATGGCTGGGAACTTTCTACAGCTGAATGAAGATAAGACTGAGATCCTCATCTGTGCCCCAGACAAGCTGGTTCCCAAAGTCAGAGACTCTCTTGGTCAGCTTGCTTCTCCCACCACACCTTCTGTCAGGAATCTTGGTGTGACCTTTGACCCAGCTCTCACCCTGGATTCTCATGTCAGTTCTCTTGTTCGCTCTTCCTTCTTCCATCTCAGGAACATTGCTAAGCTGAGTACCATTCTGTCCCGCTCTGAACTTGAGACAGTTATCCACACCTTCATCTCCTCACACTTAGACTACTGTAACTCTCTTTTCATGTGTCTGAGCAGAACCTCCCTGAACCGTCTACAGGTGGTTCAGAACGCCTGTGCTCGGCTTCTGACCAAGTCCTCCAAACACACCCACATCACCCCGCTTCTCCTCCAGCTTCACTGGCTGCCAGTCAACTTCAGGGTTCATTTCAAGATCCTGGTTCTGGTCTATAGGGCCTTACATGGACAAGCACCATCTTACATTGGTGATCTTCTTAGTCCCTACACCCCCAGCAGGTCCCTGAGGTCCAGTCACCAAAGCCTACTGGTTGTGCAGCACCAGGCTAAAGACCAAAGGTGACAGATCATTTGCTGCTGTGGCCCCCAGACTCTGGAACTCTCTCCCCCTGAGCCTGAGATCAGTGGACTCAGTGGTGAAAACTCACCTGTTCAGGATGGCTTTTGCGTGACCTTCTGTTTATTCTTCCTCACTACCTTCTTTTCATTCTGCTATGCCATTTTTATATATTTTTAAAATTACCTTTTCATTTTATCTTTTTTTTTGTGAAGCTCTTCGTGATTTTTACCTTGGGAGGCGCTATATAAAAAAATAGTTTCTTCTTCCCAGTAAAGTTATCCAAGAACCTAAAAGGTATTTGTACATTTTTGCCCTTTTATTTCTCTGAGTAGATGTTCAGTGGGAGGACCAGTGGGTGGATGGGCATCAGAGTGGGAGTCCTGTTTGGTTTCCTCACATTCCCTCAAGCATGTGCGTCTTTTCACGAGTGCTTGTGTCTCCAAAGCTTTGCGCGCGTGTGTGTAT